CGTCTTTGGGCAAAAGTCTGCAGGCGGGCGGCTACTCGTGGGAAAGCGCAGCGCAGACGAAGGAAAAGGAGGAGGGAAAGATACCCGAAGAAGCGAAGAGGTAACTGCTCAATCACCTCTTCCTCCTCCTAGTCTGCTTGCGGGCCAGATCTAAACCCATCACGGGCCGGATTTGGCTCACGGGCCTTGAGCTTGACATGTCTGATGTAGCCTTTCGGTGAAATAGAATTAGCTCATCTGATTGTGTTTCCTGTCTGGTTTACCTTGAGAGGCCGACACAGAAGGAGCGGTTGCCAAAAAAGGGGTGGGGTGGGGTGGCCTTCAGCCGTTCTTAACCAAGAGCTCTGAGCTCACCCAAAGAAGCCATGGGGCAGAGCAGGTATGTTCTTGTCTTCCGGTTCCAGAAGATGGAGGAAGCCAAACGCAGGCAAGTAATTGGGCGGCCCCCTGCTCCCAGAACGTACGTTAACTCCGTCTGTGTGTCGTTTCAGGTGCTCTCACCGTTGGCCTTGTGCGACAGTGTCAAACCATTCATGGACGTGACAGGACCTGCATTCCTCCACGGCTGCCCCCGGAGTGGATCACGACTTTATTTTTTATCATCATGGGAATCATTTCACTGACTGTCACCTGTGGCTTGCTGGTGGCTTCTCACTGGCGAAGGGAAGCGACGAAATACGCACGCTGGATAGCTTTCACTGGAAGTAAGTCTCTCCCTCCGCTCAGGAGACCAAAAAGAGCAGGTTGCCTTTGGGAAAAGTCCATCCGGAAGGCTCACCTCCATCCCAGGCTGGTCTCCCTAGATTTTCCAAAGCCCACAGAGGTCTTCCCTGTGCCCATTCAGCAGGGGGGGGGGCTTCAGAACTTCAAAACCGGGTTGTCAATATCTCTGGGGAGGTCCGGTGTATCTCCAAACAGTCCCTAGGTGACGTGTCGTAAGTTGAGGACTACCTATAAACTGATAGAACTGCCTATGATCTGTGATTAGATTTACAGGTGATCAATCTCTGGATTTGTCTGTCCATCGAACCACAGAGTAACTTGTGCAAAAGATAGCGCTTAGTGCCTCGCTTGCAGTGTTCGACTGCTGCTTTCTCCAGGCCCATGTTCCCCTTCCAAGGCCGGACCCCCAACTCCCATAATCCCTAGCTAGAGCCTGGACGTCTCTGGGGTGGTAGAGTTACGTTCTGAAGGCTAACCGCAAGCTCTAAACCAGTGTTTCTCAACCTTGACAATTTTAAGGGATGTGGACTTCAACTCCCAGAATTCCACAGCCAGCAGTGCTGGCTGTGGAATTCTGGGAGTTGAAGTCCACATCCCTTAAAATTGTCAAGGTTGAGAAACACTGCTCTAAACGCCCTCTAGCGGCTCTTTGTCACTCCATTAAACCGAATTTTGCCTGCTTTTAGAGTAGGATGGGGAGATATAGGTACTCCTCGGTTTTATGGCCACAACGGGGACCAGAATGTCCGTTGCTAAACAAGTCAGTTTTGGGAGTTGAAGTCCTGACACCTTAAGAGCTGCTAAGGTTGAAAAAAAAAACCCACCGGCCTTTACTGTAAAAGAATTTTTTTAAAAAAGAAATATAGGTAGTTCTCCACTTGTGACCACTAAATGTTTGTTGCTAAGCAAGGCATTTGTCAAGGGCCCCATTTTACGACCTTTCTCGCCACAGTTGTTACGCGAATTATTGCAGCTGTTAAGTAATGGCTCCCCCTCGTTGATTTTGCTTGTCGGAAGGTCGCAAAAAGGGATCGCATGACCCAGACGGTCATAAATACGAGTCCCAAGCATCTGGATTTTGATCACGTCACCATGGGGAGGCTGCAGTGGTGGTTAAGTGTGAAAAACGGCCCTAAGTTCCTTTTTTCCAGTGCCATCGCAACTCCCAGACGGTCACTAAATGAATGAACGACTTACAACCACAGTTCAGAGCCCCAAATTTCTGTTGCTAAAGAAGACATCTGTCAAGTGGGTGTTTTTGTCCCGTTTTGTGACCTTCCTTGCAACAAGTGTTAAGCTGATCACGGCCGTTGCTAAGTCGATAACCCTTTTTTCAGTGCCGTTGTAACTTCGAACGGCCAGTAAATGAACTGTTGTAAAGTCGTGGGCTACCTGTACTTGTAGCCATCGGTACAACTTTCTCCACTAATCTGTTGTTGTTATTGTTTTTTTTTCTCTCTCTCTTTTTTTCTTCCTTCCTCCAGTGATCCTTTTTTGTATGGCAGCCTTAATATTCCCCATAGGATTTTACATCAATGAAGTGGGAGGTCAGCCCTATAAGCTTCCGAATAACACCGTGGTGGGCTCATCTTACGTACTCTTTGTTTTATCAATTTTCTTTACGATAGTGGGACTTCTGTTTGCTGGCAAAGTGTGCTTACCGGGCTGACGGCCGCCTTGAGTGCTTTTTCCGGGGTACGGTCATGAAGGAGAGTAGGACGCCCGGCGCATCCGCGGGAAGATGCTGGTGTCAGGCCGTCGCAGTCTTACCAGAACGAGGAGATTTCTCTGTTCTCACTATGCACTTTGGATTATTATTATTATTTTTTTAAAAAAACTTTTATTATAATTATTCCTTTTTACGGAGCGTCTGTCCCCATCACCGAAACCAAACACCCGCCACTCATCTCTTCAGCATCTGGATGCAGTCAGATGTGCACTGTGATCGGACCTCGCGTGGAAGAAGAGCTTTTTTTCTCGCACTCAACAGCATTATTTCCTCTTTTTTTTTTTTTTGGTTTTTTTTCCCCTCCGGTTCCCGCCGCGTCACCATCCTGTACCCCTCTCGAAATATCTGACACTATTGAAAGTCTCAAAAGTATTTATGCACTTTGGTTGACCGGGCGTTCGCCAAGGGTGGGGCTGGGCCTCACCCAACCTTCAAGAGATTTAGCATCTTCCTTCTATGATAGGCAAGAAGCATTTGCCATCGGCCCTTCCCTTCGCCTCCCCCCCTCCTCCACACTACACCCCCCTCCACACACACACACACACACACACACACACAAGAAATCAGTCTCACGTTATTAGCTGCATCCTGAAGCCTATAGATCAAAAGACATTTTTTTTGGGGGGGGGGAGAAATCTGTTACGAGGATCCATCTGCTCGCCACCCTTGCTGATGGTTACCGCCTCCCGGCGACGTTCGGGAAACATGCTAGGAAACCTCCAGGTGGGGCTGAGAAATTCTTCCATATGTATTTATATGTGTGTGTTTGTGTGTACGTGTGTGCGTGTGCGTGTGTGTGTGTATTTATATGTATGATGCAGTCCACCGAATGTCTATGTATGTGTACTTACACACAAGCACGCACATATGCATACATGCCGACCGAGACAAGTGAAACACTGTGGTGTGCAACACTAGGGCTTGCAAAGGCGGAAGGAAGGAAAGGAAAGGAAAGGAAAGGAAGGAAAAAGAAAGAAAGAAAGAAAGAAAGAAAGAAAGAAAGAAAGAAAGAAAGAAAGAAAGAAAAAGAAAAAAAAGGCCATTTCTTTAAAGGCTGCATTGCTGGGAAAGTCTTCAGTATACCTCATTTGCTGTAGCAGCTCCTGCTTTTGACAGGTTTTTGTGATAGATATCAACAACTCCATGCCTTCCTAGGTGCAATTTTAAATTAAGCTAAGAGGGTTGGTCCTCTTCCTTCTGCTTCTCCTCCTGTTTCTCCTCCTCTTCTCTTCCTCCTGCTGCTCCTCTTCTTTTTCCTCCTTCTGCTTCTCCTCTTCCTTCTGCTTCTCTTCCTTCTGTTTCTCCTCTTCCTTCTCTTCTTCCTGCTTCTCTTCCTTCTGCTTCTCTTCCTCCTCCTCTTCCTCTTCCTTCTGCTTCTCCTGTTTCTCCTCCTCTTCCTCCTGCTGCTCCTCTTCTTTCTCCTCCTCCTCCTCTTCTCTTCCTCCTTCTGCTTCTCTTTCTTCTGCTTCTCTTCCTTCTGTTTCTCCCCTTCTTCCTTCTCTTCTTCCTGCTTCTCTTCCTCTTCCTCTTCCTCCTGCTTCTTCTGCTCCTCCTCCTCCTCCTTAGGGTACTTTATTTGAATCTGGATGATCAAAGATGAAATCATGTCTTATTTTTGAAAGCTCTTGACCCCAGCAAATGGGAAATCTGACCCGACAATTTGATGCATAATTTAAAACAGTGTAAATAGCCTCTCCTCTTTTGGAGAGCTTGGTCTTTACATCATGGAGGGTTTTGGCCCAGCAAGCCTCTCTGATTGAGTAGACCCCAAACCTCGCCTAAAAGCTACAGTAAAGCAAGCCCAAGGCTTCCCCCCCCCTTTGAAAGTTTGAACTCTTCTGTTGCTTTTTCTCAAAAGAACGAAGTGATGATTGGATGATGAAGGTTTTTTTTTTTTAACGGCCTACCTATTTTCAGGGGTCTTTGTTCTCTTTCTTGGCAGATTCTCTTGGAGAATAGGATCACTAATGCCCAGATACTAGCCTGCCTCCTTGGTTTATGTCTGATACTCTGCCGTTCGGCTCGCTACAACCAAAACTGGGCACGCAGCAGCCTCAGGCAGGCAACACACGTCTCCCAAAGCATGCTAAGGAACATTGCGAACCTGTCGTGCCGGACGCAGCTGCCCCGCCTTAGAAATCCTGCATCTGATCATCTTAGCCCAAGAGTTGAGGCCTTCCTACTCCTTGCCTGCAGGCAAATGCTCCTGGAGGAAGGAATGGCTGAGGACATTTCCCTGTCACGCAGTAGGGAGGGTTCCCTGTTCCAAACGAACCGACAGAGCCACGCAGACCGAAGGATTCTCAGTTCAACGATGTCGAATTTTTAGAAAACCCATTGTAGATTGCTTGAAGGAAAGAGCTGCCACGCTTGGCTTGACCCATCGTGCCGGATGGGTTCCTACCATCTTCTCAATTCCTTTTCGGGGATCCTCCTTAGTAATCCCCATTTGTTCAGGGCAGTATTTTGACTCCCTAAAAATGCAGGGCTAGGCCCACACTCCCATCAGCTGTTCTCCAAAAGGGCCAATGTGGAATCCTTGACTCCCATCGGTTGTTTGCGTCCGTTTTAGTTTTATAATAATAATAAAGTTGGAAGGGACCTTGGAGGTCTTCTAGTCCAACCCCCTGCTCAGGCAAGAAACCCTATATCATTTCAGACAAATGGCTGTCCAGTCTCTTCTTAAAAACTTCCAGTGTTGGACATTCACTGCTTCTGGAGGCAGGTTGTTCCACTGGTTAATTGTTCTCACTGTCAGGAAGTTTCTCCTTAGTTCCAGGTTGCTTCTCTCCTTGATTAGTTCCCACCCGTTGCTTCTTGTCCTGCCTTCAGACGCTTTGGAGAAGAGCTTGACTCCCTCTTCTTTGGGGCAGCCCCTGAGATATTGGAAGACTGCTATCATGTCCCCCCTCGTCCTTCTTTTCGTTAAACTAGACATCCCCAATTCCAGCAACCGTTCCTTGTATGTTTTAGCCTCCAGTCCCCTGATCCTTTCATTTGGAACGATATTGTTCAGTTCGACATTGAAAAAGGTGTAAAGGGACGTGGTGGAGCGAGGGTGTCAAACTGCCAGCCCGCGGGCCGGATGCGTCATGCCGAAACTGCGGCCACCCCAGCTCCAGCAATGGGGGGGAGGAAGTTGCAATAGGTGAAGTGGCGTGAGCATCTGGTGCCAAAGGAGGCGTGCGCTGGGCGCTACTCTGAGGATCCTATCTCGGGGAGAGCAAGAGGGGCTGCTAAAGGGAGGCCCCTCCAAGGCCTGGTGTGCAATTTGCTTGCCCTTCACTGAGTTTGTGGATGACTGATTCCCTTTTCTAAACTGCAATTGAGTTGAGTTTTTCCTTTTGCAGTTGGAGCGTATTGTCCGTCCATTCAGTTGGGAGAAGAATTCCTCCCCCCCCTCCCCAAATGGGCAAGTTTTAATGTGTTTGTGTGTGTGTGTGTTTTAACACGGCTTTGTGAAATTAGGTCCTTGTTTGGTGTTAGGTCAAGCCTCTTGACCTTTGCCAGGAGCTAGCAGTGGGTCCCGAAGACATTTCCCTCTGCCGGACAGAACACAAAAATTTCTGTACGTGCTGTACGCGCCCGGCGGTTTTGAACAAAAATTACTGTTGGTTTTAAATGATGGTGGCAAACAGGGCAGGTTATCTTTGGCAGGTCAAGAGCCAGGGCTAAGATTTAGGGAGAGGATAAGGGCCCCCCCAGCGGTGGAGAAACAGCACAAAACAGATTTTGCACACAGGCGGAGAAGGCTCGGATTTTCGGTCTCGCCCCCTTTTGTAGGTTTGTCTGTGGATGAGAGTCTTTTCTTAGTTCATGTTGGAACTAACTATTATTAATAATAGTAATAATAAAGTTGGAAGGGACCTAGGAGGTCATCTAGTCCAACCCCCTGCTCAGGCAGGAAACCTATACCATTTCAGACAAATGGCTGTCCAGTCTCTTCTTAAAAACCTCCAGTGTTGGAGCATTCACCGCTTCTGGAGGCAGGTTGTTCCACTGGTTAATTGTTCTAACTGTCAGGAAGTTTCTCCTTAGTTCTAGGTTGCTTCTCTCCTTGGTTAGTTTCCATCCGTTGCTTCTTGTTCTGCCTTCGGGCGCCTTGGAAAATAGCTTGACTCCCTCTTCTTTGGGGCAGCCCCTGAGATATTGGAACACCGCTATCATGTCCCCCCTTGTCCTTCTCCTCATTAAACTAGACATACCCAATTCCAGCAGCCTTTCCTTATATGCTTTAGCCTTGGTGCTGCTTTGGAGTTCACGCCGTTAGTTTCATGTCTTTTCCCGCACTGAAATTGCACCGCCAGTTGTCAGCAGTTCACACTTCTTCACTTTAGAACCAGTTGCAGCAAGTTCTCCACAAGGACCCACTCCAGTTGTAGGTAGTTCCATGGCGTGGTTGGGCAGTAGCCCCCTTCCTCTTGAGTTCCTGAGATTAAAAACATCTGCCTAGCCAACTTCTGCATATTGAGCTGCGTTTTCAAAGACACAGGCTAGCGTGCTTCAGAGCCGCGACATGATGTTACTGGGGTTCGTTGCACGGATGCTGCACAACCTCAGTGTTGCGCATCATCTGTTTCAGGAGCTTGATCAAAATTTGGGAAGACCAGAACTCTTATCCTTCTCCTTTCTACGCACTGTTGGCTCTGCTTACTGTTCTTTGCATCTGGTGCTGAATTCTAGCCTCTGCCCACCTCTTAACAGAGGTGGACTCCTATTCTCTTTTTATTCATCTTTTCCCATCTCTGGCAGGGCACAGGATTGGATTACTTAGATCAGGGCTCTCCAAATGTGGCCACTTTTAAGACTCGTGGACTTCAACTCCAGGAGTTGAAGTCCACAAGTCTTTAAAGTGGCCAAGTTAAAGTTGCAAGCGTGGCTGGCTGAAGAATTCTGGGAGTTGAAGTTCACAAGTCTTAAAAGTGGCCCCGTTTGGAGGCCCCTGAGCTAGATAATTTGTGAAGAAGAGAAGATCTATCAGCCCCTTCCCATAGGCATCACCCAACCCTCTTGCCCCACTTCTGTAAGATGAATAGTGGTGGGAAAACCCAACTCCTGAAATTAATTTTAATCGGGATGTGTCTCAAGAAAGCAAGCAAAAGTCGTTCTTTCCCCCAATCCTAGTTTTAGTTTCCTTTTGGAAATGCCTAAGAAAAGGGGAGGACCACCTCAGCTCCATACCCTACAAGCAGGCCTTGTAGACCATTTTAACCAGGGAAGCGTCTTAGCCAGGGGTCTTCAAACTCGGCCCTTTGATGACTTATGGACTTCAACTCCCAGAATTCCTCAGCCAGGCTGAGGAATTCTGGGAGTTGAAGTCCACAAGTCATCAAAGGGCCGAGTTTGAAGACCCATGGTGTTAGCTGTCTTTGACAAACTGCCTTGAGCTAGCATTAGGACGCTGTCTGCAAAAAAAATAATAATAACAGCAAAGGGATTTGTGGATTTGTATCCTCCACAGAGTAGGTGGCCAGGGTGGATGGACTCCCCCCAAATCACGTGAAGTTCTGTGACCCTAAGAAAGTCAGTCATGTCAAATTTGACAAATACACATTACACAAGGACTGGGAAGTTTTCAGCACAGCAAACCTGACTTCTTTTACGCCCTAAAACAGTGGTGGCAAACCTATGGCACGGGTGCCAGAGGCGGCACTCAGAGCCCTCTCTGTGGGCACGCGCGCCGTCGCCCCAGTCCTAGGCCTTCAGCTGGGTTTTATAAAACCTTTTCGCTTTAGGCCTCCACTGCCGTGTGCAAAAAAAAAGGTTCAATCAATCAGTCAATTTCAACTTCTCGCGGGAAAAAAAAGATCTTGCAAAGTTGGAATTGATTGATTGAACTTTTTAGTCCCAGCCAGTCTGCCGTTACCACCGCAGCCACGCCCACCCAATGGGCCACAACCACCCGGCACCCAACGATGCATAAGTGGGTTTTGGGTTGCAGTTTGGGCACTCGGTCTCAAAAAGGTTTGCCAACACTGCCCTAAAACAAAACAAAACAAAAAATGGGTGACTTTTTCACAATCACTGCCTACAAAACTGGAGAAACACATTGGCTGGAAAGCACGCAGCGACCCCCTCGCCCGTAAACCGTTAAGGAATCCATGCTCGCTCACGCCAATCCTCAATTGCATCTTGTACGCGAATGGACGTTTCAGCCACAGCTGCATCAGGCAGAACGCCTAAAATGTTTGGCTTTAATGTGACACTGAATTATTTCTTGGAAAGGGGATGGGGAAATTATCTGCGGTTATTTTTTCTAAAAAAAAAAGGGGGGAGGGAGTTTAAAGGGGGGAAAATCAACTCTTGCTTTAAATAGGATCTCAAAAGCGTGCAGTATTAATTTATAGCAGAAAGGCCATATCTTCTAAACTGTATATAAAGCAGTTTTTTTAAAATATATATATATATATGGTGCAAATGTCTTGTCAGTTTTCTGTCTGTTACATTGGAGATTTCGGGGAGCGCTGAGAGGACATCTGATCCCTGTGTGTGTGCGTGTGCGTGCGTGATGTGTGTATGTGTGTATAGGTGTGCATTTATTTTCATTGCTCGCAGCCTTCCCCAATCCAGCTTGTGCAGCGCACCAGATTCGAGAAGGCAGCTTGTCAAAAGCTTTGGAGTCAAGTGTGCTATGAATTATGCCTCTTACCCTGGGGTATGTTTTTTATTTTTATTTTATTTTAAATAACACGTCTTACTTGGATTTTAAATGTCTGCACCCACAATTTGGCTCAGCTCTGCATTAACTTATCTTGTCCAAAGCAATTCATAGGAACGGAGGTTGGGGGAAAAAGTTGGAACCGAGCCTTTGAAAGCTGCCAGATTGTTTTGATAAAAGGCAGTTTATTAACCTTAGGGAGGAGTTAGCTGCTGTTTCGTTGATGCCTCAACATCTAATGTCTTGGGAGGGAGATTTTTTTTTTGACAAGCTTGTATGATTCTTATCTATGCAGTCAAGGCTTTTCTTACAAGTTTTTTGTTGTTGTTTTAGCATTTTTTTCCCCCTCCCATCAAAGTGTCTCTCAACTTAGATTAGCAAACAAACCTAGGTTTTTCTTGCGGTCTCTAATTAATCCTAATGGCATTCAAGACATTTTTGGCGTGTATATGAAGACTTGATACCCAGAAGTTGCTAAAATACAGCTCCCAATGAACTCCAGCCAGTCAAGGCCGTTGAGAATTGCAGTGCAATGCCTAGAAAAATCAGAATTGGCTCTCCATTATTTAGTACCATCTTTTGGAGAGCCCTTGCTTTGGGGAGCGGGTTCGAGTCAACTTCCCAGGTGGCCTTTTCTAGATAAGAGATAAGATAACCTTTATTGTCATTTTTTTTTTTTTTACTGTGGGCCGAGGATTCTAGAGGATTGATATGAAGCTTCCACCATACTTACAAAGTTGGATGGCCGGACTGGGCGACGGGAGTTGTAGTCCCAGGATTTAGGAAAGCCAGGTTTTTGCCTTATTTGACAAGTTTAGCCACGCCAACGTGCATCCGATTTAAATTTATAAGCAGTTAAGTCTCCTCTAGGCATTTTCTTGAAAATTTCACTTTCTGGGGCATTTTGGAGAAACTCAAACTTTTCCCCACCCATCAGCTGCTGTTCAGTTTGCTGTTAGAGAAGTATGAAAACTTCGTGAAGGACACAAAGGCTGAAGGAAACGACATTTCAGTGAGCTTTTAAAATACTGGGGCTTTGCAGTGGTCCCATCCCCTCCGCCTTCCACTGCTTCCCATCCTGCAACTCCAAAATAACTGTTTTCTAATTGGTGGGGAGCGGGAGGGGGCGCATATTTTAAATTTGTTTTCTTTCGCGGTTAATTTCCCAACAAATTGTTAATACAAACTGTATAAAACGGACATGATTTTCCTCACTTGTATTTTTGTTATTGAGCAAGTTTATCAAAATAAATTCTCTACTGAAAGAAATCCCGACTGGCTTGATTTGATTTTGTTGTTGTTGTTGTTTTGCTATGTTTCCCCAAATCTTTCTAACACCAATGGTTGGTTTGTGACAAGCACGTCCTCGGGAGCGAAGTGCATTTGGAGAGAGAAAGCTGGAAAATACACGAGCTAAGAGCTTTCTGACAAAATTGAGTGCTTTAAAACTTCCAAATCTATCAGTGTCTGGAGATTTGTTTTTTTTTGTTTGTTTGTTTTCTATAAAAAGTGGATTTCTGGTTTCTAATGGGAACAATGAAACATCAAAAACAGAAGTCAAAGCTTCTGACAGACAGACAGACAGACACAGAGAGAGAGAGGAGAGATGAGAGAGAGAGAGAGAGAGAGAGAGGTAGATAGATAGATAGATAGATAGATAGATAGATAGATAGATAGATAGATAGATAGATAGATAGATAGATAGATTAGATAGATAGATAGATAGATAGATAGATAGATAGATAGATAGATAGATAGATAGATAGATAGATAGATGATAGGAGAGATGATAGATAGGAGAGATAAATAGGAGATGATAGATAGATAGATAATAGATAGATAGATAGATAGATAGATAGATAGATAGATAGATAGATAGATAGATAGATAGATAGATAGATAGATAGATAGGAGAGATGATAGATAGGAGAGATAGATAAATAGGAGATGATAGATAGGAGAGATGATAGGAGAGATAGATAAATAGGAGATGATAGATAAATAGGAGATGATAGATAGAGATGATAGAGATGATAGATAGGAGAGATAGATAAATAGGAGATAGATAGATGATAGATAGATGGTAGATAGATAGATGATGGTAGATAGATAGATAGATAGATAGATAGATAGATAGATAGATAGATAGATGATAGATAGGAGAGATGATAGGAGAGAAAGATAAATAGGAGATGATAGATGATAGGAGAGATAGATAAATAGGAGATGATAGATAAATAGGAGATGATAGATAGGAGAGATGATAGAGATGATAGATAGGAGAGATAGATAAATAGGAGATAGATAGATAGATAGATGATAGATAGATAGATAGGAGATGATAGATAGATAGATGATAGATAGATAGATAGATAGATAGATAGATAGATAGATAGATAGATAGATAGATAGATAGATAGATAGATAGATAGATAGATAGATAGATAGATGTGGGCTCAGCAGCGGCTGTATAGTCATCCTTAATGAGGCCATAACCGTTCTCTTCAATTAAACACACATTTCAAAGCAAACAAACACACATTTGGGTTCTTTACCCCAGGTCCTATGGGTGGCCCCCCGAGAGCTCCCCATTTTGTGTCCTGCTTTCAAGTACTGCCACTTAAACTCTTAATTGGAGTGGACTTCTTTAAAAATAAAAAATAGAAAAACAGTATGAATACCAAGGATTACATCGTGCAAGGAGGGCTGAGTGCAGGGGGAAAAAAAAAGGGATTTCCCGTGCTTTATTGACAGCGCCTGGAAATATTTCCTGGAGAACTTTTTGGGGGTGGTCCAGCTGATGCTTCTGCAGCTCTTGAAAACCTTTGGTTGTTCGTCTGCCCAGCCCTTCTTTCCTTCCTTCCTTCCTTCCTTCCTACCCTCCCGGATGAGAATGGTTGCTTCCGTTGCTAATGGAGATGGAAAACACAGGGAGGGCCAGCCAGGGACTCTAGCAAAAGATCTCAAGAGCATCAGCTGCACATGGAAGAGGTGTGCAAGAACATGGCAGACGCCTGGTGAGTCCCAGATCTTGGGGGGACATCAGCTTGGGACGATGGGGTGGGAAGGAGCCAGCTTGGAGTTGGGAAGGGCTGCGGAAAAAAAGGGGAGGACATGATTTTCAACCGTCTTAGTGGAGGAGAACATGTGTGTCTTACAAGCATCAATGCAGAGGCGGTTGCTGCTGCGGTTGTTTAGTGCCAAGCTGCTTCTGCAGGGTCCTAGCAACTAAAAAAACATCACAAGTCAGGGTCAGGGGCATCCTGGGAAGGGCGGCCCAGGCTTCTTAAAGGTTGCCAAGATTTGGGGAAAGGAGCAAAATGCGTTTGATGGAAATGTGCTTCTACTGGTCAACTGCTGAGTAAATAAACAGTTCGAATTGCTCTCTAGATTAGCAGTTGGGGTTTGGCTTTGGTGCTTACTCAGCCGTTTACTTAACGGCTGTAACTGAGCCCCAAAATTTATGTTACTAAGCCAGAGATTTGTTAAGGGGGTTTTGCCCCGTTTTACAACTTTTCTTGCAATCGCTGCACTTGTTAAGTTAGTAGCTACAACCGTCATAAATACAAATCAGTTGCCAAGCCTCTGAGTTTTGATCACGTGACCCTGGGCATGTTGCAACAGCCGTTAAGTGTGAAAAACGGACATAAGTCCCTTTTTTTTCGTGCCGTTGTAGCTTGAAACGGTCACTAAATCAACTGTTGTAAGTCAAGGACTGCCTTGCGGCGTTGCTCAGAAAAAAAAAAAGAATTAACGTAAAATTGTGTAGAAGAAACAGACCAGGGGGACCTTCATTCACACCTGACCTTCCTTTGGGAAACTCTACAATTTGCTTGTCCAGTTATATTGGGGTCCAGAAATCGTTGACTACTTTTTTTTAGATAAGATAAGATAACCTTTATTGTCATTTTTTTTTTTTACTGTGGGCACAACAGCACACCTCAAAAATGAAATGTAGTTGCCCGCTCTCAAAGTGAAACCCATACATGACACACACCTAAACATACTATATGTAACATAAGTATAGACCCACACCCCTACATATACATACATACATACATATTTCTTTTTCTGACAAAGAGTTAAAGAATTAAATTGGGAGACTAAGATGGCCATTTCAAGCTCGTTCTGCTCTCATCAGTTAGCCATACTCTTTATGGGATTCGAACCTGGGCAGTTTACATACTAGGCAGTGATTTAACCACCAAGCCACAGGCTTTCCTCCCCTCTTTGCCAGCTGAGTCATACATACATACATATACAGATGGTTATTTTTGCAGCGCAAATCCAGAATCGAAGGCGACGTCACCCAAAAGGCAGAAATCCTGGCAGGACATCCTTATCACTGATTGGGTGGATGATAAAGGATTACTAGTCACCCATGTTAACCAAACGCAGGATTTAATGGTAAGTGAATATTCCCGTTAATGATCACTAAAAGTACTGTACAGGGAGTCCTTGACTTATGAGCATAATTGAGCGCAATTTTTTTTGTAGTGAAGAGAGACATTTGTGAAGGGGGCTCTTGCTCCATTTCACAACCCTTCTTGCCCTCTCAGAGCAGTTTACAGAGTCAGCCTATGGCCCCCCCAACAACCTGGGTCCCCATTTTACCCACCTCGGAGGGATGGAAGGCCGAGTCAGTGGCAATAGCAATAGCACTTAGACTTATATACCGCTTTACAGTGTTTTAAAGCCTTCTCTAAGCGGTTTACAGAGTCACCATATTGTCCCCCAACAATCCGGGTCCTCATTTTACCGGCCTCGGAAGGATGGAAAGCTGAGTCAACCTTGAGCCGGTCAGGATCGAACTCCTGGCAATCGGCAGAGTTAGCCCGCAGTGCCACCTTCTAACCACTGCGCCACCACAAAAATGCATGGGTTTATTTTGGCCTTGATCCCTGTTCTCCTTTTGCCCACAGCGGCTCAAGAACACGGAGGTGATGTTTGCTAATTTAAAAGCCACCGACGACTGGATTCAGGTCTACAGCTTGGCTAACCTGCAACTCTCCCTGGAGGATTTGATGAAAAAAGGCACTGCCACCACCACGTAAGTGCGAGTCTCACTGGTTTTCGATGGCTTGTGCCTCCTGTTGGTTCACCCTGGATGTTTTCCTTTAGGGATGCGAGCAACATGGTGGAGTTTACCCAAGAGGAGGTCAACAGTTTTGAATCTCAGCTGCAAATGTGAGTCTCCCATTGTCAGACTCTTCCACAAAGCGAGAAGGCTACGTAGAGTTGCTTCTAAGCTGTTTATTTTATTGTTTCTCACCTAAAGACAGAATTCTTGCCAAACTAAGGCAAACCGCTTGCGTCGTTAAAGATGTACGGGCAGTCCTCAACTTATAACAGTTTCACCATTCAAAGTTAACAACGGCGCTGAAAAAAACTTACGTAAAGTACTTACTGGTAATATTACAATATAATGCATTATCTGCATGGGGGGGGGGAAATTATATTCATCTTACAGGGCCATCGATCTATATGACAAACGGATGCGTTGGCTTCTCCGAGGCTCTAAGAAGGTAACATTAAAAAAAACAACGTTTAAATGTTACTTCTCGTTCAGGTAGTCCTCAGTTTACAACAGTTTGTTTAGTGACCCTTCAGTGTTACAACAGCAGTGAAAAAACTGACTTAGGACCGATTCACTTTAACAAGCATGGCAGGAAAGGTTTCAAAATGGGGCAAAATTCACTTAATGGATGTCTGGGCTCTCTTGTGGTCGTAAGTTGAGGACTACCTGTATTAGAGATATTAGGTCTAAGGTAGCAAATCTCAGGAGATATGAATGGGAAGGTTGAGATATTGGCTGGCTGGCTGCTTTGGACACTGAACACACATAAACAGACATAGGAGAGAGTCCTCGCCTTGCAACCACTCGTTTAGCGACCGTTCTAGGTTACAACTGCACTGAAAATGTGGCCTAGAATCAGTCCTCATGCTTACAACCGTCGCATCGTTCCCACGGTCACAGGATCAAAAGCTCAGCGGCAAGATTCTCCAAAGCGCCTGAAGGCAGGACAAGAAGCAACGGGTGGAAACTAACCAAGGAGAGAAGCAACCTAGAACTAAGGAGAAACTTCCTGACAGTTAGAACAATTAACCAGTGGAACAACCTGCCTCCAGAAGTGGTGAATGCTCCAACACTGGAAGTTTTTAAGAAGAGACTGGACAGCCATTTGTCTGAAATGGTGNTTATTATTATTATTATTATAAGATTCTCACAACATTCTAAACCAGAAGAAAACATGACAATTTAGAAATATTGGCTGAAACTAAGCTATATCTGAACAGAAGAGAATGTAACAGGGGAGTTTATATCTTCATTTTAGAGACTAAGGTAAAAACTATGTGTATTTATACAGGTTTCCTTCTGGCAGCCACAGGGGTTTGTAGAGCATTGTAAAAAGTCTCCTGCCATAGACTTTAAACCAAAATTATTTTTGTTAGGAATAATAGGAGCTAATTATGAGAAAGATTGCAGATATTTAACACTACACGTACCAACGGCAGCAAGAATTGTATTTGCCCAACATTGGAAAAATGAAAACTTACCAGCTGAAGAAGTACTAATTAAGAAAATTCTAGAGTGTGCAGAAATGGATAGATTGACTTTAAAAATTAAAGAGAAAGAAGACTCAGTGCACTTTAGAACATGGGATAACGTCTATCAATGGCTGGAAAGACGAGTTAGAGAGAAAGGAATGTGATAGGTAATTTTGAATATATATTAGCAAGAAGAAGGCTATTGAGTGATTAATTAACATATTGTTTATGATAATTAACTATGTCTATTATTGTTTGTTAAACACATGAACCCAGACATTATGCTGTTTGCTAAATATTGAGAATGTTATTTGGAAAACCTCCAACCCGAACCCTAACCCTAATCCTAACCCTAACCCCGAGCCCACCTTATTCCTAACCCCATAAAAACTAATAAAATCTATACAAAAAAAAAGTCTCCTGCCATAAAATTCTCAGTGTGCAATACCATAAAGATCCTAATTCCATATGAATTGAATGAATGAATGAATGAATGAATGAATGATGTTCTAAGATCTTTCCATTTCCTTCTATGTTTTTCCCCTTCTTCTCCCACTCCAGATGTTCGGCGTCATTCAAGGAAATAAAGTTGGCGTTCTGATCGAAACGTCCAGCGTAGGTTATGGATCAGGACTGCAAGGATTCCAAATGGACCTCTTGGTAAGTGTTACAGGCACTTTGACGGCCACAAGGGAGGCCCACATTTCCGTTGCTAAGTGAGACAGTTTTTTTAAAGTGGCGTTTTGCCCCCTTTTACGACCTTTCTCGCCACAGTCCTTTAGTGACCTCTGCAGTAGTTAAGTTAGCAACCTGGATGTTAAGGGAATCTGTCTTCCCCATTGACTTCCCTTGTCAGAAGGTTTCAGAAGGGGATCCCGTGATCCTGGGACGCTCCGACCATCATAAATACGAACCAAAATTTGCCGAGCGTCCGAATTTGGATCACATGACCCTGGGGGTGCTGCAATGGTCCTAAGTGTAAAAACTGGTCATAATTCCTTTTTTTCAGTGCCGTTGTAACATTGAACAGTCACTAAACTCTGATTATTTTCTTCCCAGTCGTTAATTAACGAACAGCTGAGTTACACGAAGAAACTCTACTTGATTTCGTTTGGAACTGAGGTCTCAGCTCTGTGGGAGGAACCCCAGGCAGTCAATGGGGATCGGTAAGAGTGCTATTCAGATTTTTATTCACCTGGCTGGAACTGTAGGTCCTCTTGTTTCCCATTTTGAAATTCCTGGGTGGTTATGTTGATACTGGTGCTCACTCGGAGGGATCCTTTTTAGTAGAAGAGAACTTCTATTGCTGTTATTGTTTTGCTACAATTTTATTGCCCAATTTAATAATAATAATAAGTGCCTTGGGTGCAGTCCCAAAACAACTGGAGCACCACTTGAACACCACTGGCATTGACAAATTTGCCATTAGTCAATTGCAAAAGGCGGCCTTACTAGGAACTGCTTCCATCCTGCGACGATATCTGTAATACCATCAAACATCCACATCTGCCTATCCCAGGTCCTTGGTAAGGACTCGATAGTAGGTAGACTATCGAGGTAGACAAAATGCCAAATCCAGTCTGAACATCTGGCTGACTGTGCGATGATCCATAATAATAATAATAAAGTTGGAAGGGACCTTGGAGGTCATCTAGTCCAACCCCCTATACCATTTCAGACAAATGGCTGCCCAGTCTCTTCTTAAAAACTTCCAGTGTTGGAGCATTCACCGTTTCTGGAGGCAGGTTGTTCCACTGATTTAATTGTTCTAACTGTCAGGAAGTTTCTCCTTAGTTCTAGGTTGCTTCTCTCCTTGATTAGTTTCCATCCGTTGCTTCTTGTCCTGCCTTCAGGCGCTTTGGAAAATAGCTTGACTCCCTTTTCTTTGGGGCAGCCCCTGAGATACTGGAACCCTGCTATCCTGTCCCCCCTCGTCCTTCTCTTCATTAAACTAGACATACCTAATTCCAGCAACCGTTCCTTGTATGTTTTAGCCTCCAGTCCCCTGATCATCTTTGTTGCTCTTCTCTGCACTCTTTTTGACCATGTCCAGACCGGCATTTGCTGATTGACTTTCGCATTCACTAACCACATTTGCTGGTTGATTTTCACTGTTTTAATTGTTCGGGGATTTGCTGCTTGGAATGTGCTTTGTTGACAGGCACGCCAACATTGTCATTAAATCCAGGCTTGTGTCTAAATTGGTGGGCAATAAAATTCACTTTCCTTCTTCTTTCCACCCCCCCCCCCCCGCAGATTAAATGAAGCCAGGCAGTGGGTCCAGGAGCTGAAACCTACCCGAGGCTGTAATTTGCTAAACGCTTTAAAGAAAGTCCTGAAGATGAGAGAGCTGGACTCCGTGGCGATCATAGTAGGAACCTGGTAGGTCACCTGTTGAGAGGCAGACGTTGTCTTTGTTGTTTACCTGTACAGGTAGTCCTTGACTTAGGACCGCAACTGAGCCCCACTTTTCTGCTGCTAAGCAAGATTGTTGTTAAGTGAATTTTGACAACCATCCTTGTTAAGGGAATCGCTGTGGTTGTTAAGTTGTGAAGTGAATCCCCATTGACTTCGCTTGTCAGAAGGCCGCAAAAAGGGGGTCACGTGACCCCGGGAAGCTGCAGCCGTCATAATTATGAGCCAGTGGCCACGTGTCTGAATTTTGAACATGTGACCATGGGACGCTGCAGAGTTCGTAAGTATGAAAAACGGTCATAAGCCACTTTTTCTTTTAACAGCCCTTGCAAGCATCCCCGTGGTCGCGGGTTCAAAATTCAGGCACTTAGTAACCGACTCATATTTATGATGGATGCAATGTTCCCCGGGCTCACAGGATCCCCTCTGGTGACCTTCTGACAAGCCAAGTCCGTGGGGAAGCCAGATCCACTTAACCACCATGTCACTAACTTAACCAATGCAGCGATTCCCTTAACGGTGGCAAGGAACGTCGTAAAACGGGGCAAAATTCGCTGAACAAATGTCTTGCTTAGCGAGAGACGTTTTGGACTCGGCTGTGTGTTGAGGACTACCTGTTTGAATGACAGCTTTCTCTTTCCTCTCCCATAATGATAGCTGGTCCTTCTCTCCCACCCTTTCCTACGACGCACCCGTCCTTTTTCCTTCCTTGTTTTCCGAAACAGTCCAGACCAGGCGACGGAAATTTTGTCTGATTACATCCAGCAGTGCTCTGCGGGAAGACGTTTGCTGGTTCACACCGTGGCGTACAACTGCAGCAGTCAGGGGCCTCCTGTGAGTCTCTGGGTTGTGGGAAGGGAAGTGTAGCTCAGGGGATCGCCAGCAGCTTCCCTTAACAACTGATTCCCTTAACAACGGTGGCAAGAAAAGTCATAAAACAGGGGCAAAAGTCACTTAAAAACTGTCTCGCCCAGCTACAGAAAATTTGGGCTCGATTGTAAGTCGAGGGACTTATCTGTAATTTACTTTCTATATTTTCCTCGTCTCCGGGGTGATCTTTGCGCTTTATAAAATAGAATTGTTGTTCACAGGGAGCAGCCCGTGACTTTCATTCATTTCATTCCTTTTAGGCCATTCTCAAAAGATTGGCTGAAGAGGTGGGAGGCCGTTACCATTGCTACTCAGGAGAGATTGAGGTAGGTCTGTCGACTTAAGGTGCATTCTTGTAAAGCAGAGGGGTGCAGTCTTAATTAACCTTTAGGGCTGCATGTGGCCTCTCAAGTTTCCCAAAGTTGTCTGAATTGTGGTGGGGTTTTTTTCTTTTGAAGGTGCCCGAAAGGAAAGACAATAATCTCTCTCTCTCTCCTCTCTCTCTCCTCTCTCTCTCCTCTTTCACTCTCTCTCTCTCCTCTCTCTCTCTCCTCTCTCTTTCTCCTTTCTCTCTCCTCTCTCCTCTCTGTCCTCTTTCCTCCCTCACTCCACTCTTTCCTCTCTCTCTCCACTCTTTCCTCTCTCTCTCCTCTGTCCTCTCTCTCTCTCTCCTCTCTCTTTCTCCTCTCTCTCTCCTCTCTCTCTCCTCTCTCTCTCCTCTCTGTCCTCTTTCTCTCCTCTCTCTCTCCTCTCTTTCCTCTCTCTCTCCTCTCTCTCTCCTCTCTGTCCTCTTTCTCTCCTCTCTCTCTCTCTCTCTCTCTCTCTCCTCTCTGTCCTCTCTCTTGCTCCTCTCTCTCTCTGTCCTCTCTCTCTCTCTGTCCTCTCTCCTCTCTCTTGCCCCCCTTTCTCTCTCTCTCTCTCTCTCTCCCTCCCCCCCTCTCTCTTTCTGGTGTCGTCTAACCAGAGTTGCCACAGCACTGATATTCAGCTGGTTCTCTCTGAGCAGCAAAAAGCAGGCAGCTTGCTCAAGATCGTGGACGAGATCTACGAGGGCAAGATGGGTGACTCGCTTTTCAATTTAGTGAAAAATGTAAGTCCCTGATTCCTTTTGAGAGGCTTCGTTGCATGCTGCATAGCCCAGGGCTAGGAAATCCCGTAATTGCGCATTATGTTTACTTGTGAAGTTTCCTTATCCCAACCGTGGTATGTGAGAATGGCCTTGGGAGACAGCTGAAGAATTCTGGGAGTTGAAGTCCACGAGTCATAAAAGGACCCAGTTTGAAGACCCCTGATGTAACCTTAGAGTAAAGACAGAGCTCTCTTCCCCCCACCCTTCGCTTTTACAGTCCAAAAATCTAGGGAGGGTTTTTCTGTTTTTTTCTGTGGGCTCAGCTGCCTCTTATCCAATCGTTGCCTTGACTGCAGCTCTTTCTTCTGTCTCCCGAGGCTATTCTCATATGCCATTACATGAAATGTCCAGTAAAGAAGCAATACAAGTATATATTTAGAAATGATTTTTTTAAAGAAAAAAAACACACCACCTTGGTGGCAGCCCTCCCTTTAATTAAAAATTTGCAGTTGTTGAGTACTCAACAGGAACAAGAACACACGGGTTTTTTTTAACAGAGGACATGTTGACTCTCTCTCTCTCTGCTTAGAGTTCAACGGAACGTTTAAGCTCATCGTCTTTGGTACAATTGTCCAAACCTCTCCAGCACGAGCGCCCTCTTGCAATCCAGATCCCCAACTTCTTGGCCAAATCTTCCGCCGAATGGTTAAAAGCCAATGGATTGCGAGGTAAGGCAAAAAACCCAGATTTTCCCTCTGAAACGACACCCGTCCAGACCAGTTGGTGGACTCCCGTTTCGTCTGTCCTTCCTGCAGCCAAGAAGCTCGGCCTTTACCAAGTCTTAGCACCCAACGCCTTCTCGCCCGTGGAAGAATTTGTGCCTGTCCTTCGCAAAACGGTATCGTCCACTCTGCACGGGGTAAGTCAAGGAGAACTGATTTGGTTTCTGGAGGCAGGCTGTTCCTGCCTCCAGAATTCTTCTCACTGTCAGGAAATTTCTCCTTAGTTCTAGATTGCTTCTCTCCTTGGTTAGTTTCCATCCGTTGCTTCTTGTCTTGTCCTTCGGATGCTTTGTAGAATAGCTTGACTCCCTCTTCTTTGGGGCAGCCCCTGAGATATTGGAAGACTGCTATCATGTCCCCCCTTATCCTTCTCTTCATTAAACTAGACATACTAGATGCTTGGCAACTGGTTCATATTTATGACGGTTACAGTGCCCTGGGGTCACGTGATCCCCTTCTGTGACCTTCTGACAAGCAAAGCCAAGGGGGAAATTTAACAACCCTGTTGCTAACTTAACAATTCCAGCGATTCACTGGCCAGAAAAGTTGTAAAATGGGGTTAGATTTAAATTTACTGACAAAGAATTAAAAGGAGACTAGTCTAGCTATTTCTTTGTCGGTAAATTTAACTCTGACACACAAATAGTCTTGTGTGGAGGCTCCTAGATTGGGGCTGAAAGGCGGAAGCGAAAGCAGTAGGCTCCCTCCCACATTTGGGGTAGACCACGTTGCCCTGATAGACCGGCCTCCCCGGAAAACCCTTGTAAAATGGGGCGAAACTCACTTAACAAATGTTTCACTTAACAACACAAATGCTCAGTGGGGGCTGTGAGCCAAGGAGTGCCTGCCACCTGATTTTGTGATGTTGTGGTCATCCTTTTCGTTGCAGAACGCCATGATGCAGTTTGAGTGGCACGATGGGACAGTGAAAAATATCCACGTAGATCCTCCAATATTATATGATTACCAGGTGAATAAATTGCACATCATTGCACATCCTAACCATTGTTGGTCTTGGGGCTAAACAGCCGATCAAGGTCTGAAGTGTTGCACACAGCCCAGTCCCACTTCTATACAGGCAGTCCTTGACTTACAACTATTTTGTGTGTGTGCGTCCTTCGAAGCTACAACTGCACCAAGAAAAGCTATTTATGACCAGTCCTCACAATTCTTGCAGTATCCCCACGATCGCGTGACCGAAATCCGTTCATTTGGCAACTGTCTGTGGGAGGAAGTCAGGTTGGCTTAACAACTGCACGAGTCACTTAACAACTGCAGCAATTTGCTTAAACGGCTGTGGCGAAACGGTCATAAAATCCAGTGTGACTTATTTAACCACAACAGAAATTGTGGTTCCAATTGCGGTCGTCAGTCAAGAACTACCTGTATCTTAGGAGAGCGGGGAAGATGGTTGCAACCATGATGCTGTAGTAGATCAGGGGTCTTCAAACCTGGCCCTTTTACGACTTGTGGACTTCAACTCCCAGAATTCCTCAGCCAGGCACACGTGCCTGGCTGAGGAATTCTGGGAGTTGAAGTCCACAAGTCGTAAAAGGGCCAAGTTTGAAGACCCCTGCTGTAGATGGGTGAAGGTTGGAGAACCTCCCGATCATGGATGGGGTGGGCATCTTGAAGCACCTTCTCCATTCTTCTATGGGAATTTGACTTGAGAAGGAACTCTCAACATTAGTTGCCTGAAATGTTTGCCTAATCCTTAGCCAGCAGCTTCAGACGATGTCTCTTCTCCTTTGCTTCCCAGAAGCAGCTGGGGCAGACGGTGAAATTGTACGAGAGACGCATTGATTGGCTATCTCTTTCCAGCAGAGGAATTTGGGGAACGGTTTGTGAAAAGAGGTACCCAGATTTGACTTCCTTGCATCTCTTTCAGATGCCTTCTTGCCTTTTATTTCTACCTCTCTCTGATCCTCTTGGCCAGGGGTAGGCAACTTTGGCCCTTTTATGACTCGTGGACTTCAACTCCCAGAATTCCTGAGCCAGCCATGCTGAGGGGAAAGGGAGAGGTTTCCAAGCTGAGCCATGCTGGCTCAGGAATTCTGGGAGTTGAAGTCCACCAGTCATAAAAGAGCCCAGGTTGCCTACCCCTGCTCTTGGCCAATCCCTTCTTGATACTTTGACTGCATCCTGGTTTAAGAGGAGGGAGACCTCCTGGTGCACGCGCTGAAATGATGATAATAACAAAATAATTTATTTGCATGTATTTCAATTCCAACTGACTCTGGGCAATGATACGAGAATAGAAATGCAAGAAGTAAACTCAACGGTTAAACAGAGGCAAAGAAATTAAGGACCACGGGATTTGCTTTATGACGGAGGTAAAAATGGTCATAAATTGAGTCCGGTCATTTGGGGACTTGACTTACAATCTCACCAATTGATGACCGAAATTCCAACCCCAGTTGTGGCTGTAAGTCAGGGATTTATTTGTAATTGTCTGGACTGGTCACACACAACCAATGCTTCCCAAATCGGGATAAATTATATAAAACTGAGCAAACGTGATTTTTCTTTAAGCGACAACACACAAACTCATTACCCCATCGCCACTGATATTTAAAGAAGGACTGTCTGGTTTTGTATAATAAAGGGAAAAAAGTGCTTTGGAAGGACTACAACAAACCATAAATCAGGGTTTATCCTCCACTTTCTCTGGTCTCACAGGGCTGAAAAGAAAGGAATCAAATGCAGGAAAATTAAGCATAAAGGAAGGCAGAGGAAACGTTAATAGCCTTTGGTTTTCCATTAGGGTGGTTATCCTGGTCGACATCTCCAAAACGAATTCCCCTTACATCTTTCATCTCCAACATTCTCTACGCCTTTTATTGGAAGAGCAAATGGCTAGTAAGGACCTGTTCAACATCCTTGCGTAAGTGGCTGTTGTTTTGTTTCGGTCATTTTTTTACTAGATAATATTTTTAAGAAAATAAAAACCTGACATGTTTTGGAAGAAAAAAGAGGTAAAATCATAAATTCATCTACCTATTTACAAAGCTGTGATCCGGGAAACGCTGGCTTGGGTCTGAGATAAGAGAACCCGTCTTCCTATTCTTCGAAGGAGCCAAAATTGTTGCCGCTGAAGAAATCTAATCTTAACGAAAGAAATCTTAATCTTAAGGCGGTGGCAGTGCTGAAAAAGCAACTTAGGACTGTTTTTCACACACTCTGATCAAAATTCAGATGTTTGGCAACTGGCATGTACTTAGGACTGTTGCAAGTGTCCCGGAGTCACATGATCTCCTTTCGCATCCTTCTGACAAGCAAAGTCAACAGGGAAGCCAGATTCACTTCACAATCACTTAACAACTGTGACAAAAAAAGGACATAAAAGGAGGCAAAACTCATTCAACAACTGACTCGCATAGCCACGTAAATTTGGGGCTCAACGATGGCCCGTAGGGCGAGGACTACCTGTATGCGGGTTGGACATAAATTGGGGTAACTAATTTATCTTTCCAACAAGTCCCGGGTGAGCCTGGCCAATGTTTGTTGATTCTACGTTCTTTTTTACAGCTTTGGAAGCGACGTTAGGGCTTGGCAACCTGAGATGGTCCCACCTCATTCCGACAACTTACAGAGTGCTTGGAGGTAAAGGACCAAGATATTTTTCCACTTCTTCAGTCAAAATGAACGAGCAAAACCTGGTGTGTCCAACCTGGGCAAATTGTGCTCAACTGCCTGTTTTCTAACAAATGGTGCCCCTGTTCGTGATGTCCCAATCTTGATCCATTTTGTATCAGCCCCACAGACGTGGAATGTCCGAGAAGAACATGTCTGATGCTTGGTTGTTTTTTTCTAGATGGGTTCTGTGTCTTCGCGCCAAGGGCACCAGGAATCTTCTGAAGGCCCTCAAAAGAGCCGTGGAGGTGAATTTTAAAGATAAAGATAGGCATGCATCTCAAGGCTTGTATCTGCTGGCAGCTGGAGTGCCAGATCAGGAGACGGTAGGTGGATTTCCAAAATCAGTTTAGGCAACGTTCAGAACTCTTCATTAGATATATGTTGTATATAGTATGTTTAGATGCGTGTCATGTATGTGTTTCACTTTGAGAGCGGGCAACTAAATTTCATTTTTTTGATGTGTGCCGTTGTGCCCACAGTTAAAAAAAATGACAATAAAGGTTATCTTATCTTAAATGCCCAAAGCCTTAATATGCCACAACTCGTTTGGGTTGGCCAAGAGCTAGGAAGTGGAAAAGTGGATTGCATGATTCTTTTTATATCAGCAGATGGGCGTGAACACAGTTAGATGAAGATAATACCGTCGTTAAAATGAGCAACAAAGAGGATTAGGGGACTGGAGGCTAAAACATACAAAGAACGGTTGCGGGAATTGGGTGTGTCTAGTTTAATGAAAAGAAGGACAAGGAGTGACATGATGGCAGTGTTACAATATTTGAAGGGCTCCAAAGCACCTGAAGGCAGGACAAGAAGTAATAGATGGAAACTAAACAAAGAGAGAAGCAACCTAGAATTAAGGACAAATTTCCTGACAGTGAGAACAATTAACCAATAGAACATCTTGCCTCCGGAAGTTGTGGGTAGCTCCATCACTGGAGGTTTTTAAGAAGAGAATGGACAGCCATTTGTCTGGTTGGCCAATGGCTGGCTGGAGAGTTCTGGGAGTTAAGTCCACCCATCTTAAACATTGCTGAGGTTGAGAAACATTGCTCTAAAGTCGTGGCTCATTGGCATCAAGGAGGCAGCCTGATTAGGAGAGCAAAATGGACATCGCCGAAGATTCGCAATAAGAAGCTGTGGCCCTCTGTTGCATTTTGGAGGAGCCACACACAGATCCCATGGCTCATGGATTGTGCACCCTTGCACCATGGTTGCAATTACATTGGTTCCCTGCTTTTTATAAAACTGATTCTGTTAATGAATGTGAAACCCTTGAATGGCCTTCAAGCCAGGAATCAATTACGTGCGTGTCAAACGATGCTGTCCATCGCATTTGGTTTCCACCTTCTTTGTCTTCCAGCACCTCATCTCTTCTTACCTGGTTGAAGTCTGTGGGGGCTGTGATTTGCAACTCCACGTTTGCCTCTTCAGCGTTAACGCTTATTCGTTTGAAGAAGACCCACCACCACGCTACGCGAGTCCCGAAGAAACCACCACCGCTTACAAAGAAATTGTGCAGGCCGCCAACGGACGTTTTCATTGCTTTGGAGAAACAGGTGCGCTAGAATGTCAGGGTGTATTTTTAATGTGCTTCCAGCTGCCACGTGGGAACCCTCTGAAGTGGTCTCTGGGCCTTTTAAGGATGTGGGCACCTCTTCAATCTTGCTGGAGTGGGTTCTTCCTTCTTCAAGGGTTTATCTTTCTGTTTTACCGTTCTGAGGAGCTTTGAGTCGGGACTACAGTATTACAAGTCACCTTTTTTTTCTTCTATTCTGTATGAGTAAATCAGATCTAGCTCCATGGTGAAACAGATGTAACACCGAATTCAGTATTGTGGGGTCCTTGGTGCTAGGAGGAGGAGAAAGGAGCAGGAAGAGGAGGAGGAGAAAGGGGCAGGAGGAGAAAGAGGAGTGGAAAGGAGGAGGAGAAGGAAGAGGAGGAGAAGGAGAAAGGGGGAGGAAGAGAGGAGAAGGAGGAGGAGAAAGAGGAATGGAAAGGAGGAGGAAGAGGAGGAGGAGGAGGAGAAGGAGGAAGAGGAGGAGAAGGAGGAGGAAGAGGAGGAGAAGGAGAAAGGAGGAGGAAGAGGAGAAGGAGGAGGAGAAAGGAACAGGAGGAAAGAGAGGAGGAGAAAAGAGCAGGAGGAGAAAGAGGAGTGGAAAGGAGGAAGAGGAAGAGGAGATAGGAGGAGGAGGAGGACTGTGGCAGGCATCCTTGCTGTTCTCTGAGCTTGATGGTTTTCTTGCAGTTGTTTCATTCATTCTTGGTCCCAATGGTGAGTGTAGGTTGAGGAGTACCTGTATATCACATCCTTTATTTCAAAATGTGGGCCTTCGGGCCTCCTGGTCCTTCTTCGTAGAGTTCTTGACTTGTACCCCATTGTGCTGCTCTTAGGGCGCCACAGGAAGGAGAACTCTTTGTATCTCCAGATATTCTTGGACTTGACGTCCTAGCACTCCCAGTTCACTTCAACCAACCTGATGTTACTAACGATCAGGGATCGTGTAAATCATACTCCAGCAACAGCTGGAGAGTTGTAGCTTCCTCACCTTGGACAACACGGACTGAACAGCAACTTTGCAAAAACGCATCTCCTTCTCAACCTAACCTTGGAGATGTCTGAAACCGAAGCTGTGAACATTTTGCACAAATGTACGCAAACTCACACAAATATGTCCATCTTACAAAGAAGGTGCTGAAGCACCCGTGATCAATCAAAACCTTATTTTTCTCGGGCAAAGTGAAGACCCAAATCCAGATATCTGGTTGACCAACCAACCCCATGTGTTATTCACTGTATTTCACCACAGCTTCCCAGTGTTGTGTGGATAAAACGGAGGGAAGACCCTCTCTGTGAACTGCCTTGAAATTTTATGGGAAAGGTGGAACATACTGGAAAAAATAACTTCATTGATAAATACCTAGAATTGCATGAACCTCCATCAAAAAAATCCTAGCATTCCCAAACTGTTCCAAGAGGTGTGCATCTGTGCGGTTGTGTGTGTTAACAATTTTTTTGTAAAAGTTGGATTGCATCAAGTTTCAAAACTTAGGAGTTTATATTTTGTGTGTTGTTTTTAATTCCTTCTTGCCTTCCGGAAAGGTATCAACGAAAGCGATGACATCAGCCTTATCCTATCTGAAATGGAGAAAGCAGTTAATTACTCTCACAAGGTTGGATCATAGACCTTTTCAAAAATTGACTTTATTTTAAGCTATGTCTCTTTACCATGACGAGGATGCAGTGGTTTGATCACCTGGTGTAGCATTTTGCACAATCATTCAGGCCAACGGGCGTTCCCCTGTCGATTTCTAAGATGTATATACTAGATCTGAACAAGATGAATATAAATGACCACACGATGGCAGCAAAGGGACCCTGAAATCTCTCACTCCTTGTGGCCCTCTAGTGGTGGTTGAGATTTTTGCAGCAGCAATCTGGTGATCGTAATTTGTGGGGGAAAAAATACCAAAGTTAGAGCAAGAAGAATGTTTCCCAGTTTACGGTAGGCACAGACTTCAGAACTCATTCATTTATTTAATCTCTTTTCTTTCCCATCCATGGAAATAGATTTCAAGAACAGCAACAAATCACGCTTAGAGAAAAATGTACCGATGTCTGTATGCGTGTTTTTGGTCTGGACAACAGGAATTCATTTATAAATTTTGCTTTGTGCCCAGGTAGTTAGAAATACACACTTCATGAATCTCCCTTTAAACAGGAATAGGAAAAAAAACCCGATTTGCTATTAATTTTGCTATTGGAATTCGTTCCTGATAAGAGTTACGGTTATGTCTTCCGTGAAATTTGCCTCTAAAGCAGTGGTCTTCAAACTTGGTCCTTTTATGACTTGTGGACTTCAACTCCCAGAATTCCTCAGCCCAGGCACGCTGGCTGAGGAATTCTGGGAGTTGAAGTCCACAAGTCATAAAAGGGCCAAGTTTGAAGACCCTTGGTCTGGATCCAAGCCCGCAGTTTCATCAAAATGGCCGACTGAGGAATTCTGGGAGTTGAAGTCCACAAGTCATAAAAGGGCCAAGTTTGAAGACCCCTGATCTAAGGCAAGCCTCCATGTGTTTTCCGATTGTTGCTTTGCTTTCAGTGTGCCGTGTTAGTGGAATCCTTAAGGCAGAGATCAGGAAACATTTCAAGGAACCAGTCACCTCCCATAACAGATGACCTGTCATCCCTAAAGAAAGAAGAAAAAAAAACCAGACCTTCAAAATTACCATTTCCCAAGCCGACAGCCCTCACCCTTGCCAGGATGGTAAGTTGGTGCTGGTATTTCAAAATGAACTTTAGCGTAATCTGTTTGTCAGTTCCTTGCTTTGTACAGTATTTTTTTCCCTTGACCAATTCTGGTCCTTGAGTCAAGAAAACACCTTTTGTAGAATGGCTGGAGAAGGAAAAACACGAAACCGAAATACGAGAAATTTTATTATGAAATGAAAGAACGAGTGCTTCTCTCATCTGTCCTCCATCTCTTTATTGTCCGTGAGAACAGCGCCAGGATGGCGAGAGGACTGGTAGCCCCAAGGCCCTTTCGTGGCGTCCTCCGAGCGGCAAAGCGGAAATCCCACCAGGTGGGTAGAAGCGAAGTGGCTACCAGATGGGATAAACAAGGGTGGCTCCATACCTCTAAGTCCATAATCAGCTGAAGCCCATCTGTGTGGAAGCTGCCATGGCTTTTAAATCATAATATAGCTTGTTTCGATTTGCCTTAGGATAGGGATGTCCAAGATTGGCAACTTTAAGACCTGTGGACTTCGGCTTCCAGAATTCCCCAGCCAGAAATACTGGCTGGGGAATTCTGGGATACACCTGATGTAAATGTACTGTATTTTAATGAGTTAGGGTTCATGCAGGCTTGGGAATTCTGGGAGTTGAAGTCCACAGGTCTTAAAGTTGCCATGCTTGGATACGCCTGACGTAAATCTACTGTATTTTAATGAGTTAGGGTTCATGCAGACTGGGAAATTCTGAGAGTTGAAGTCCATGAGTCTTAAAATTGCTAAGCTTGGATACACCTGACATAAATCTACTGTATTTTAATGAGTTAGGGTTCATGCAGGCTGGGGAATTCTGGGTCTTAAAGTTCTGGTCTTAAAGTTGTCAAGGTTGGACACTCCCGGCTTAGAGGATTGGATGAATCCCCCCTTGCGAAATTGGGTGAATATGACTGTGGATTCTCTATTTATCTATCCATCTGGCCTGTTTGCTTGTAGTTAAAATACAGTGATGTGTTTAATATTTTTCTCTCTCCCTGCATAGTTAACATAGTCTCAGCTGTCTTTTCAGGGGTGGGGGCCTGCTGACCGATCAGATAGCCTCTCCCCCCCTGTTCCTTTTATAGGATGGGACTAATCCAAATGATTTTATCAGAGTCTTAAAATTTCAACAGATTACAAACATCCCGCTTGCAGGCTAAAAGTAAAAAAAAAAAAAAAATACAGAGAAGACCAAAACAAGAAAAAGAATGAATTAATCCTACTTAGGAATGCAAGCCGTACCCATCTTGAAAGGATGGGGTAATCTGATTGTAGATGGGAACGTTGATGATAATTTGATTTATTGTGCAGTTCAGCCCATAAAAGAGATTTTCCTGGCCAGAAAGAAATTGAACCTCAAGGCAAAAAGACAGCCAGCAATGTCAGACTCTTTGCTGGATCACCGCCAAAGGAAAAACATAGGTGAGTTTCTTCAGATAACGGGGGAAATTTTCTTCCCACAAAGATATTTGTAAACGTTTAGCATTATTATTAATGGGAAACTAAAAATTGGAGAAAACTAATTAGGACATTGATTGTCTATAAAGAATGAATGTTAAAACAACCAGGACAAGTCTAAGCTAAAAAATATTGATAAATGTAAGGATGTTATTTTTATGTAATTGACATAAGAAGAATTGTATTAGTTTAAACATGAGACGGTAAATACTAAGGGGGAAAGAGAAGAAATATTTAATGTGGTAGTTTGTACTAAAGATATTTGTACGTCATTGAATTATCAATCAACTCAGCCGCCACGTTGCTTTTTAAATACTTAAATGTAAAATTAGAAAATCAATAAAACAGTAAAAAAAAAAAAACTTTTAGCATCCCAAGCTGAGCAACAGGTTGTTTTCTCTCCTCTTGGCTACAGGATGGGCCTCTTTTTCCACCTGAGAGATTGAAATGTGCATTTTTAAATTCACATTTCTCTCCTTCCAGGAAGGAGTATATAAACAAGATGATTTCAAGAACGGGGTGTGTTTCAGAAGCAAGAATAACATGGCTTTCTTCCTCTCCAGAGGCAGTTTTCAAAAAGAGCGGGAAAAGATTGATTGCTTCGCTGATGTTGCCAAATGAGGAGGACATCTGCTCCACCAAGGCAGTACGTATTGTCCGTCAGACGCTGCCTGAACGGAAAGATTATTAAATCACTAAATCAGTGGTTCTCAACCTGTGGGTCGGGACCCCATTTGGGGTCGATCAACCATTTCACGGGGGTCGCCAAGCAAGGCTGTCCGCCATTTTTTTTGTCCGCCATTTTTTTGTCCGCCATTTTTTCCCCTTTTCCGGTGGGTGCCTTACCTCCCTTGGGCTGGGCCAGCTGGTGATCGGCCTGCTCCGTCTCTGCCACTTGCCAGCTACGCCTCGGCCGGCGCAGGGGGCGGAACCACGCATGCGCGGCGCTCCCGGGCAGGGAAAGTCCTCGACTTACGACCGGTTGGGTAGTCCTCGACTTACGACCGGTTTAGTCCTTGACTTACGACCGGTTTAGTCCTCGACGTATGACCGGTTTAGTCCTCGACGTACGACCGGTTTAGTCCTCGACTTACAACCTGTTGGGGTCGCGGCATTAAAAAGGTTGAGAACCACTGCACTAAATGCTTCTTCGCTTGCAGCGCATCCTCCATTCGCTCAAACGAGACTTCCTTTTTCCTCCTGTCCATTAGTGGCTCAGTAAATGCAGCCTGAAAAAGCTGAAGCTAGATTTGGCCACTGTCGTGTTTGGACCCGGGAGCGTCCATCGGAAGCAGATGGTGGAATCGTTGCACAAGAAAGTTGCAGCAAAATATTGCGACATTTTCCCAAGTGTAGAGATGCAGGTGAGTCCCTGCCGTGGGTTCTTTTAGAGGGAACGTGAAACGTTTCTTTGGTAATCCTGATTGTATATAGCAGTATTTCTCAATCCTGGCCACCTGAAGATGTGTGGACTTCAACTCCCAGAATTCCCCAGCCAGCATTCCTATATAAGTAATCATGGCCATTTTTCTCCAACTGTCCTCAGCCTTGGATTTTTATCCTTATTTATTTATTTATTTATTTATTTATTTGCTGTTGTTATTAGTTAAGGGTCATAGTCTTTCCAAACAGGTAAATAGATGATAGATAGATAGATAGATAGAAAGATAGATAGATAGATAGATAGATAGATAGATAGATAGATAGATAGATAGATAGATAGATGATAGATAGATAGATAGATAGATAGATAGATAGATAGATAGATAGATAGGGATGATAGATAGACAGACAGACAGACAGACAGACAGACAGATAGACACAGAAATGATAGACAGATACATTAAATAGAAATAGACACATGATAACTACAGGGATAAACAGAAAGACTGACAGATAAACAGACAGAAATAGAGCTTAGACAGATAGAAATAAACAGAGAGATGATAGATAGATAGAAAGATAGAAGAGAAAATGATTCACGAGCCCCTCCCTAATTCACACAAAGATAAAATGAGGGAGGCGGAGGCATATTCCAACGTACAAGATTCTGCTCCTAACAGCCGTTCCAGTAAAAATAGTCTTAGACCTACATCGCACGGGTTTCTTAGCCTAGCCTACATTGGACACGACCCTCCCATCACCTCTTTGAGTGACCTCTTGTGATCTTGTCTCCCAGGGGATGGTGAAGCATCTGCAGATTCAACCCAAAGATTTGGATGATTACATCAAGCAGTTGGAGAGAGTGTTGCAATGCTACGTCCGGAGAGTACAGTGGCTTCTCTCGGGTCTGTCTATCCTACCAAGGAGTTGCCCCGCTATTAACCATCTTGACAGGAGTTATTTATGCTCTTTGCATTCAGAATTGGACCACCTGGCCCCAAAGTTGGGGGCAAATGAATTCTTTTGAACCAGTTCAGGCCCATAGTATGTGCGAAGGAAGAGGGATAATGATGACACTCGTGTCATGATGCAAGAATGTAAGGGCGAGATTTGGGTCATGCCCAACCTTGCTCCAGGTGATCCCAATTGATGAGAAAGTTTGGTTCCTTCATTTCAACATCTATAGAAATGATTAGAGTGTCAGATTTTGTAGGGCCCACTATATCTCCATTCATCTGTAACATTTAGGCCAGGATTGTAACCTAGAGGACAATTCTGTGGTCTTTGGTCAACCTGCCTTATAAGTGCTGGAAGCTAAAGAGGTTATGGAATCAACAATGAGTTTCAAGCCATGCCTCACCATCTTATTGAATCAAATATTTCTGATCCGTGACTATGGAGATTCTCAATCATCTAGGTCAGGGGTCTTCAAACTTGGCCCTTTTATGACTGGTGGACTTCAGCTCCCAGAATTCCTCAGCCAGGCACTCTGGCTGAGGAATTCTGGGAGTTGAAGTCCACAAGTCATAAAAGGGCCAAGTTTGAATACCCCTGATCTAGGTCATGGTTGTCTCAAAGGTGCTTTTTCAAAAGGTAACTTGACTTCCACAATTTTTTTTTCCTTGAAAACCTTTCACTTCTCACTTCTTTAGTTTTGAAGCAACTTCAGAACAGAACCGAAGAAACTTCTTGGATGAGAAGCAAAATGTTTTCAAGGAAAAAACACCCCAAGAAAGCCCAGTTGCCTTTTGAAAAAGCGCCTTTGGGATATGTCTGATCCAGTTTTAGAGGGCAGCCAAACTGAATATTCTTTAAGTGTGTGGACTTAGTTTCCTAGAATCCTCAACCATAACCATGCTGGACCATGGTCATGCATGGAGAATTCTAAATCAGGGGTCTTCAAACTTGGCAACTTTAAGACTTGTGGACTTCAACTCCCAGCCAGGGCTGGCTGAGGAATTCTGGGAGTTGAAGTCCATAAGTCTGAAAGTTGCCAAGTTTGAAGACCACCGTTCTAGATGTTGACATCATATATCCCAAAGGTACCAGCCTGGAGAAGGTTGGTTTGATGGGATTCCTGGCCACCATCTACCTTTTATCCTGATTCCGATTCTTTAGATTAAAACCTGTGCTAAGTAAGACAAAAAGGGTGGTCAACAGTGACAAATTCTCTTTCTTAGGCAGTCGCCGATTCTTTGGAGTCATCTTGGAAGCCAAAGTTTGCATCCTCATTGACACATCTGGTTCCATGGAGCACACCTTGAGTCTGGTTGCCAAAGAGCTCACCTCCCTAATCTGGGAACAACTGAGGAAGAAGGCCACCAAGTAAGGAAGATGCAGGAGTAGTAGCTTACCTCATTCCTGTCATAACCAGTCTCAGACTGGTAAGTTGTCCTCGTAAGCAGGCTTCTCCTGACCTCACCCCCACATTTCTCACAAGGGACCAGAAGTGAGCTCTCTGTTTTCTGTTGACATATAAGAGCTCTAACTGGTTGTAGGATAGCCCCATATATCTACAGCACCGGGGAAGTTTTGGAGGAAACCTACTCAGTGAAGATGGTGAAGGTTCTGCTGAAGGTTCTGGTGAGAATTCCCAAACAAAGTCCCACTTGCTCTTGCGTGCAAGAAATAGTTGACCTACTAGATGTGTTTGGAATTGATTACTGTGATTAAATCATACACGAGGAAATCCTGATCACAAGCCAACCTGATAATACAGAGGGTGTGGCCTGAAGAAACTTGTGTGACCTTTAGAGCTCTCAGAAATAGTTACCAAAATGTTAACCACCACCTCCTCCTCCTCCTTCTTCTTCTTCTTCTTCTTCTTCTTCTTCTTCTTCTTCTTCTTCTTCTTCTTCCCGAGGTGTGTGATCCTTTGAACTTTTTCTAGTGGTATTCCTTCTGAATTTATTGGTGGTAAATTAACGGGTTGTTTGCTGACGACCATGATCTTGGTTTTTGAGGTGTTAAGCTTCAAGCCGTATTTTTCAGATATTTGTTAACATGCTAGAAGATGTGATTTACACGACTAGAGAGTATACTAAGTTGATGCAACTTTAATCCAAATTTTGTGATGGCCTTAGTCAGGCCATTTTGGAAGGTGGCTTTCCAACATGTTACTCAAACAATGAAGTAATGGAATGTTGCAGAGATAATAAAAGAAAAACCACCAGATCTCATAGACATAATCAACAAATTCCCTGGGTGGAAAAGTGAATTGTAATTACATGATCTATTGGCCTCTTAATTTCACATATCTCAACGTGATCCTCGCCACAGTTTTGCTGATGTGGTTGTCCACCTTGATTGGGCTTCCTGATGGACCTTTCTCTCCAGGTTCAATCTCATCGCTTTCTCAGAAGAGGTCCAACTTTGGCAGAAGACCCTTGTGGAGGCCACCGATGAAATGTGCCACGAGGCTGCCCAGTGGGTGTCACTCTTTCAGGCTCATGGGAATACATCCATTTTGAAGGCTTTACAGGTTTGTTCAATTGGACAGAAGCTTCTTAGTTAAGTAGTGTTGCCGTAAATCCTGGAGCCAATGGCACAGAGCAGGCATTTCCAAACTTGTGGACCCCAACTCCCAGAATTCCTCAGCCCGTTGTGAATTCTGGGAGTTGAAGTCCACAAGTGTTCAAGTTGCCAAGCTTGAAGACCCCAGCATAGAGAATGGGTTTTCCCTTCAAAAAAAAATCATCATCTGCTATGGATTTTCTGGATTCCAATTGCAATTTTGCTGGAAAACTCTAGTGCAGACATGTCAAACTCGCAACGTCACATGATGTCACACAACGTATCAGGACTGTTTTGCCATTGCCGGCAACGGGGTGGGCACGGCTTCCGCGTGACACATCTGGCCCATGGGCCAGCAGTTTGACACCCCTGCTCTGGTGGGAATTCTCTTGACACTCTTGTGGAGGGAAAGTCGGCCATTTTGTACCTGATTTGTAATATGAATGAATATACATGGAAGAATTATATTAGCTAGGTTACCTACAGACTACAGTAAGGACTGTTTGGGGTCCTGCAAACTACAGTTAGTTCTCTACTTACAACTGTTTGTAACCGTTCAAAGTTACAACAGTACTGAAAAAAAGTGACTTATGACTATTTTTCACACTTGAGACCATTGCAGCCTCCCAGTGGTCACATGATCAAAATTCTGACGCTTGGCAAATGGCACATATTTATGACGGTTTTACTTCATTCAACAAAGCATTTTCCCCTCCATGACCTGGTGGGTGAACTAAACTTTTCCTCCCAGTATTCTAGCGTCCAAGCTGCTGTGTAATTCGAGATGGTTGTGTTGTCATTTTCAGAGGGCCTTTGGTCTTGAAGAGGTAGAAGCCCTCTACATTCTGACCGATGGAAAACCTGACACCAGTTGCAACTTAATTCTCAAAGAAATTGAAGCGCTTACAAAGAGTCGGGCCGTTACCATCCACACCATTTCTTTCAATTGCTTGGACAGGTATCTCTCGCTTGGCAGCCCCAACTGATTTTTTTTAAAATTTAGTCTTTTAAAATTTAATCTTGGGCCAAGATGAGAAAAGCTTCTGCAACATGACCAAGTTAGCAAGTTGGCCAACTTCCCGGAGTCTTCCGGATCCCTTGGAACTTGCTGTGGAGGATTGAGCTCAAATGACTCCCACTTTGGGACCTTCTCCTTGTTGTCTTCGACAGAGTGGCCAATGACTTCCTCAAGAAACTCGCCTTCCAGACCGGCGGACGCTACCATCGTTGCCACGGAGATGTGGACGGACAGTTGGCCGCACACCAACTGCTTTCGCAAGGCTTTAAAGATGAGGAGGTATCATCCCTTGACCCAACTTGGAATCAGTTCATTAATCTTCACTCCCAATAATTTTATAATGAAGTCATGGCAATCTACTGTGCAAATGCCCAGAAGATTAGATTAGGATTAGATCAGCTACGATCAATCAATGTTTATCAGTCTTGGTGACATTCTGGTTGGGAAATTCTGGAAGTTGAAATCCACAGATCTTCAAGTTGTCACCATTTGAGAAAATCTGCATTAGCTGTTGCAAGGTCAGGACCTTGGACAGCGTGGAGTCTTAACTCAGGGCTGTTGACCCCTGTAGATTCAACCAACTTTAATTTATTCATTCATTCATTTATTTATTTTATTAAATTAACGTGCCACCCATTGGGCGATTACTCGGGGGGGGGGGGTTTACAAACATTAAAACCACTACACATTATATTGTCTACGGAGATTTGAAGAAGCACTTTTGGGAGTTACAAATTATATTATTATTCGTCTAGCAATTTCATTTCTGGCAGTGATCACCTCTCCGTGATCCCTATTCTCAGTCTCATTTATCCTTCTTTATACCCAATCTTCATTAGCGTCACCTTTACCATTTTGGATTATTTCTGGTCATTTCATACAAGGCTTCAAAGTGGTAGTCCTTATGACTGCAGTCGGGACTAGCATTTCACTTGTAAGTCGTGACGGTCGTAAATTAACGCGCCCATGTGTCCCGTACCTGGTTTTACAACCGTCCTTATGGCAGTCATTGAGCAAATGACACATTGTGAGTCTGAATCACAAGAGTGTAATTGCGAGCCCGTTCTCCCGAATCCACGTGTTTGTTTTTTTTAACCAGAAACTGGCCCAAAAAATATTTCGAATCACGGCTATATGACTGTAGGATGCTGCAGCCAGTAGCGAGTATGAGCCAATTGCCAATGGCTGAAATGTCATGTGACCAAGAGGGGGCACATGATATTTTAATGATGACTGGAGGTGCTTTATGCTCATGTAATGCCGAATGCTTGTTAAATGATTGGTCGTAAGTTAAGAATTACCTGTATATGGCCAGAAAGACATTATCAGGACAGATTTCCTGCTTCCTGGGTTTCCAGCAGATATTCCGAAGAAAGAGGGATGTTGTTTGACTTTCAATCTCTGTTTTCTTTCAGGATTAAGTGCTCTTCACCTAAACAAAACGAAACATTTCTTGGTTTTTGTTCTTTTTCAGGATCCCGTTTTCCCTTTGTTTGAAGGAGACGATTTGAAGAAGCTTGTCGCAGAAATCGACAAAGCTAGGAAATATTTAACGCAGGCAAAGAGGTTTAGGTGAATGTCTAATATTTGAGTTCTGGACTTGTCAATTTCCCTAATTCTTGTCCCTTTGTTTGAAGGATTGTTGGTTTCTTGCTTGTCTTCATTTTCTTTTCATTATATTGAGAGGGGGGGGAATCTCAGGGTGCTGCTGTTGCATAAAATAAGCAGGAGATGAAAGCAAATCATGGATCATAATTTTTGGTATCTTTCTTTTTTACTAGATCACTTTTAGAAAGAAAAAAAAAAGAACACGAATGAGAAGAACTGTCTCACTTAATCCAATGGCTTCCAGGTAGAATGTACGTATGTTTAATAATAATAATAATAATAATAATAATAATAATAATAATAATAATAATAATAATAATAATAATAATAATAATAATAATAATAATTATTATTATTATTATTATTATTATTATTATTATTATTATTATTATTATTATTATTATTATTATTATTATTATTATTATTATTATTATTATTATTAAGTTGGAAGGGACCTTGGAGGTCATCTAGTCCAACCCCCTGCTCAGGCAGGAAACCCTATACCATTTCGGACAAATGGCTGTCCAGTTTCTTCTTAAAAACTTCCAGTGTTGGAGCATTCACCACTTCTGGAGGCAGGTTGTTCCACTGGTTAATTGTTCTAACTGTCAGGAAGTTTCTCCTTAGTTCCAGGTTGCTTCTCTCCTTGGTTAGTTTCCACCCGTTGCTTCTTGACTCCCTCTTCTTTGTGGCAGCCCCTCAGATACTGGAAGACTGCTATCACGTGTCCCCCCTCGTCCTTCTCTTCATTAAACTGGACATACCCAATTCCAGCAACCGTTTGCTCATTAATCTTTCCTGCTAAATAGCAGAGCCTTTTTCAGAACGATATCTATTCCAAATATGTAAAAAAGTTTCAAAAACATCAACAGTGGCCACATATATTTAGAATTGGTGAGCATTTCCAGTAACCGTAAGAAAAAGGCCAACAGAAAACTACCCAATTTAGCATAAAGGTTTCAAATTTGAGAGAGTTATATTTTGATTACAGGTTATACCTCATTCTGACCCAACAGAATCAAGCAGAATGATCTTACGAGTGAATCGCATCAGTGATCGTCTATTAAAATCTTACTCTCTGTCATTCTTTTAACAGAACCAGCAAAGGAGTTAATTTTTTTTTTCATAAACCGCTGCTATAATATCCCCATGGACAAATCTTCCTTCATTTCACGCGGGAATTCTGGAATGAAAACAAAGAAGCTTGAAAAATCTTTCAGACTTTTCTCGTTCTTTTTATATTGCCCACAGAATAATTGCATCACACACACCCCAAATACTAGGACAGCCTCTCTTCTTTGATTCACCCCCCCTCCCCAATGATGGCACCTCATAGGCGATTGTGATTTAATCTGGGGTCTGTTTACAGTCCTTTCAGCTTTGCCAAATGCAACAAGAACCCGTCGTTCACGTTACATATAAGTTTGTTTATGGAGTGTGCACTTTTTGAAGATGGAAGAGATTGTCCCCAGAAGCTGTTTATTTTGGGGGGGGGACTTCACTTCCCACAATTCCCATCGTCTTCTGGATTTGGGCCTTCCTCCTGCTCTCAAACACATAAAGAAGAGCAAAAGGTAAGATCAGATCTCTTCAAATGGATTCCCCAGATTGCTGCCCAAGATCAACATTCCTGGAAATATTTGACATTGTTGATCCCGTCATCCCGCGTCAGATTCCAGTGAAAAAGGTTAAATCAGTGGAGATTCCCAGTCATTCCAGGTCAAGGTTGTCCCGAAGGGGCTTTATTCAAAAAGGCCACTGGACCTTGTTTTACGTTGAAGACGTTTTACTTCCCATCCGAGAAGCTTCTTCAGTTCTTCAGCTTCTTGGGTGAGAGGAACTGAACTGAACTGAAGTTTTTGGAGGAAGAAAAGCTGGAGAAGCTTCTTGGAGGAGAAGCGAAACATCTTCAAGGAGAAACAAAGCAAGACCAGTCGCCTTTTGAAAAAAAGCACCTTTGGGGTGGAGGAGGACGTGTGTGTTACAAGATACTATCCCAGCTGTTCCACTGGTGCAGTGGATAAACAGAACTTGAAAACCGAGATATACGTTACGCCCTAAGGAACAAAAAAACCTGCATTTTTTGAAATTCTGCCAGCGTGCCATCCTAGAACTATATGTCTCTTTGATTAAAAAAAAAGAAGAAGAATAAATCAACCGCTCTGTCACCATATGTTTCTTTTGGAAAGACGGAGAGAACATTTAGAATCTCATGACCCTTTCAGCGTCAATAAACTTTGTGGAAGAGTTCTCCTGGCAAGTAGATTTTATTTAATACTTGTTTTTTCTTTATGTTTGCTTCTTCATTTTGTCCCTCTCCTGGCTCCTCATCACCACCAATTGGCCTAGTGCTAGATTTGCCCAGCTTTAAATAATCGGTGCCCCAGTATCAGCCCTTCGAAGTGGATAAGACCAAAAATCACAAATGCTAATCTCATTTTTTATTCTAAGTTAACCGTGACAGAATCTTGCAAGTCTGAAAGTGTCTGTCTCTCTCTCCCTCCTTGCCTGTTACGTTCCAGGGAACTAAGGATCGGTTCTGAAACTCTTTCTCAAATTATATTTCTTGTCTGAATGCAGATTTTGTCCATCCGACCTTTGTTTAAGCTTCAGCTCTTCCTCCTGTCTCTCAAAGTTATTCTGACAGCCCATCACGGTTAGTCCCCAACTTACAGCTATTTGTTTAATGACCGTTCGAAGTTACAACGGCACTGAAAAAAGGGACGTAGGACCGTTTTTCACACTTACAACCGTTGCAGCATCCTCAGGGTCACCTGATCAATATTTGGACGCTTGGAAACTGGCATGTATTCATGACGGTTGCAGTGTCCCAAGCTCGTGTGATCCCCTTTTGCAACTTTACAACAAGCAAAATCAAGGGGGAAGCCAGATTCACCCATTAACCACTACGAACTGCAGTGATCCACTTAACGACTGTGGCAAGAAAAATGGGGCAAAACTCACTTAACAGCTGTCTTGCTTAGCGACATAAATTTTGGGCTCAATTGTGGTTGCAAGTTGAAAAGGCCATATGCCCAGGGGAAATACTAAATAGCAACCCAGCCATTTGGACATCTTTAAACCATAAATGAACCTTGTCACCTTCTTCTCATCTTCCATCCCAGGGCTTTGAAAAACAACACGCATTGAATTCTCTCCTGTGTTTGAATTCCCCACCATTTTGTGCAGGTAGCATTGTGGTGTGGTTAAAGGAAAGTTAGCCAATTAACAATCATGATAAAGAAAAGCTTGCTGTGCTTATAATGATCACATGCTAGTAGGTGCATCTGGGGAGGAGGGGATGATGTCAAAACAGGGAAATGACTAAGATAGCACCTGTAGTCACATCCGTGTTCTATATACATTGAACAATCCGTATATGAAAGGGGAAGGCATTGTATTGCACAATCACAGCTGTCCTCTTGACTGTTTTTGACTCACAGCATCCATACCTGTTACATTTCTGTATATCAGATAATAGTTGGATGCTGCTCTTTTGAGGAACATCAAAAGAGTTTGCTAATTTTCATCCACTCACCTCAGTCTTCTAATCCGATTACTGGCCATGAAGATTAGTCTATAATCTTCAAAGTAATTGCTACTTATGCTACACTGGCATTTCCAAGAAGCTGAGCGTCTTCAAATTAATTGCTACTTATGCTCCATTGATTGTATGCAGATGTTATCTGCTTTCATCAAACCCCAAAAGATCAATTTTAATTGTATCATTGGCAACCCAACATGTCATGCGTCAGGAGTACAATTCACATCATAGGGGCCTGTACAAATAGCTTTATGATCGTTCATGATCATCCAATCAATGGGCTGAAACAGCAGATGGGTAGATGTCATTTTCAAAATACAACTCAGTCACGTTGAAGGCTACATACCAAGGCTACTATTACTACTTCCGTGTCGGAAGCACCAAAGTGCTTCCAGGGTGAAAGGATTTGCCAGTGACATCACCATTGTCCAGGAGACGCCCACTTGGGGGCTCCTTTTGTGTCCCTGTGAACTTACCCACCAAAGTGGTACCCATTTATCTACTCGCGGTTGCCCACTTTCAGACTGTTGGGTCCGCAGGAGCTGGAGCGTGCGACGGGAGCTCACCCACCCCACAGCAGCAACGGATCTCAAACGTGAGCCTGCTGGTTGTCAGCCCAGCATTCTAACCTTATGAACTCCCACACTCCTTTTTTTTTTAGTTTTTAGTTTTCCTTTTTTCCACTATACAACAAAAATAAAACTGAAAAAATACATTTTTCCCTTAACAAAACTGTGTTATACAC